TTATGAATTACCAATTGCGCAGCCCGCACCGCCAGCAGATGCGCGAGGCGGAGGCGGCTGCGGTGATGGCGGCGGCGGCTTTGGAGGCGGCGGATGCCGCAGCGATTGCGAAGCAGATTGACGAGGCGGTAGCGATGTACAGGGCGGATATGGCGGTGGATGCGTAGTACGCCGGGCGGGGCAGTCGTCGGTAGTGGCGTGGAAACAAAAGTAAAAGCGCGAGGATCTAGAACCGTAGTTAGCGTGCATCAGTCCGTAGAAACACGTACGGACCCTTCTTGAATAACTGAACACGACTTGTTGATTGAACGCCGTGCGAGGGTTGATGAATGAGTGGATGGACGTGAACGAATTTATCCGCCTCCCAGTCGCCTTTCTCCTCCTAATCATGTCAAAATCAAAATCTAAAAAATCGCGTGACGACGACGACGACGCACCAAAGAAAAGAGGAAACCCAGGCGACTTTCACGGCAAGCGCGATGAATTCCTACGCGAGCACCTTGAGGAATATATTGCGGCATCAGAGGCGCGCAGTACACGCACCTTTTGGCCGACACTTTTCGCCAAATGGTGGGCCCTGTTTCCCTGGACGCTGCCCATTGAGAAGGACTCGACGGACGGCATCGAGCTGGACACCAGGCCCGACACGGCGCTGTCGGACGCCGAGCGCGCACAAAAGAAGAAGGTTCTTGATACGATGGAATCTGTACGTTCGAATGGTTAGAAAATACGGCGCCAACATGACTGTTAACGAACGTACCTCAGAAAGTAAAAGCCTGGTACAACTATCAGCGTGCGCACCATGGCGGGGGAGCCAAGAACCCGTGGGCGCCGTTGCTGAAGGAGCTCCGTGAAAAGACCAACGCGCCGGCACCAAAACGACTTGCGGACTTTCAGTGCTACATGCAGCGACCAGAGCACAAGAAGGAAATCCAGCGAGTATTCGGGGAACGACATCCAAACAAGATAGGAGGACGAGGGACAATAAACGAGCGGGCGGCCATTGCGCGCGAGTTGTTGGCGGGAGAGAGTGCGGAAATACGGCATAAAATTCATGAGCTTGCGGATGCAGAGCACGAGGAGGAGATGAAGGATTGGCGGGCGACAAAAGACGGTACGAAGGAGCTAACCGAGGAGGAGAAGGAGGCGTAAGTGAATTTCCTACACGTGCAATAAATAAAGGCTGACGAACCTGAGTAGTGCCCGAGCGAGATGGGCGGTAACGATTGCACCGCTGCTCAAGATTCTGAGCGACTATACGAGGTACAAGATATCGATGATCGTGGGGCGAATCGACAAAACCACGTGGAAGTTTGATATACGGTCGTTGCATGAGGGAAAGACGGCCAAGGGGGAGGACTGGCCGACGTGGGCTGCTGACGGGGCGTATAACGACCATGTCGTGCGCCAGTTTATGCGATTTCTGCTTGCAGAAGGTAAGCGCTATTAGTTGGACCCCCAATGAGGCAAGCTGACGCACCCAATCTGTAGAGGGCGCCGTCGTGCTGAGCGACCGTGTTGGTGACGACCCGCTGGAGATTTTACGACTTGCAAGTATCGCCGCCACGGCAGCAGTGTCCTCGGGTCCTAACACGTCGGCGGCGTCATCGTCATCCGCCCCTAACACTTCCAATCTCGCTAATGCAGCCGCCGCCCCCACTACGGCGTCATCGATTCCAGCCGCCATCCCCTTCATCCCCCCTGCCCCCACTTCAGCAGCTCCCCTGCGCGCAGCCACTCCCACTCCCACTCCTGCCCTCCCCGACCGCCCTCCTACTCCCATCCCCATCGAATTCGCTGCTATTATCCCACAAGTACGCGCCCCCCCCACGGCAAGCCAGCTCGACGGCGTAGAAGGCGTAGAAGACGTGTTAAAAAGGGAGGTGCAGGCACTGCCAGCGGACGAGCGCACAGCGCGAATCGAACAGCTGAAACGAATGCCGGTGTTCTTTCGCCAACGTGAAAGCAATATCGCGAGACATGGTGAGGAGGAGGCGGACGCGAAGGCGGAGCTAGAGGCACAGGCGACCAAGGTGGCGGCGGAGAAGGCGGCAGCAAAGGAAGCAAAGAAGCGCAAGGCCCCGACGAAGAGAACGAGGAAAGGGAGGACGAAGCGGCGCAGGGGGCCGATGGGGCTGGACGCGAGTGACGAGGAGCCAGACGAGCTGGTGCTTGATTCCGACTCAAGCGAGGATGAGCAGCGGGGCGAGGACGAGCAGCACGGGACGCCGACGCCGACACCAAAGCCAGCGCGCCCACAGCCACACCGATTGAATGCGCGCGGACAAGGCGCTGCTGCAGCTGTAAACAGCGGGAACGCGGACGCGACTGGGGTACAAGCACCTGGGTGGGCGATGGATGCGAAGAAGGTGTTAGAAACCGGGGAAATGGACGACATCTGGAACACGTTGGTGGGCTTGTGGTGGGAAAAGGAGAAGGTGTGCGGATTTGCGGGTCCAACTCGCGGGTACACCGAAGGACGACCCATCCAGGTCTCTGAGTGGGTGCGATACGCGCGCAAGGCGCTAGTGAAGCCTGCGATCGATGACGTCGAAGCGTTCGGGCAGAAATGGTGGGAGTGGTGGATACTGATGAATCCGAACTGGCGTGAACGCTCGAGCTTCGCGCCGAGAACCCACCCCAGGCTGGAGCAGACGGCGGGAGGGGAGGAGTGGGGAGCGGTGGACTACTCGGGGCCGAACGGAATTCTGAATGTGCTGATCTGCCTGCGCTGGTGGAGGGACGCGATGGGACCCAATGACAATGAAGAATATTGGGTCGAGGCTGTGGAGGATGTGATTTGGTCGCTAGAAACGATCAAGTGAGTTCCTTCTGCTTTCTGTACAGGCGGATAAGAAAACTGACCCAATCTTGCAGTCAGCAGAAGGCGAGCGAGTGAAGGAGGAGGGTGGTGCGATTTTGGGTGCACGTTTTCTTGGAGAGTCGCCGTCTTACGTGTATATTGATGCTGATGCCCGATGCTGTTGGATTCCACGCGGCAGGAGGTCTTTTTGGTTACAAAACAAGATGCTCGCACAAGGTATTGGCATTTGGTCTCCTGTCGATGTATCGCCCGTTCCCCTATTTCATCCAAATCTACTGCTTTTAAGGGTGCTTTTTATAGGTGTGGCACGTGCCACCTCGGCAGAGCCCGATGCCGTCGGATGGCCGCTTTTCTTTAATTTATTTATTCTGGTTTGATGGGAATCAAGGCCGATGTCGTCGGAGAGCCGCCTTTCTCTTGTCTTTCTCCTGGCCTGATGGGGATCAAAGCCAATTCTGTCGGAGGCGCGCTTTTTCTTTTCTTTTTGCAGGTTGATGGGAACTGATCTGAATCATGATTTTGAGAAAGGCCGATGCCGTCGGAATCCAGCACGGCCAGCAGAAAATGCCGAAAAACGGCTGAAATCAATACAATTTAAACTCCGCCAATGTGCCGCATCACTGTACTAGAGAGGTCACGTGCCGAATTGGGAAGGCCAGGATATTTTGCATTACGGCCTTTGGCCACGGCCATATCTTTTTACATTGTTCTGACCATATGGGCTGCACAGAGGTCTGGGTCAACAGTAAGAAACTCTGTTAGATGAATGTGAGAAGACAACACACCTGGGTCAACAGTAAGAAACTGAGGACCCAGGATGCAACTACGCTACTTATATATGTAGTTACATTGTATAGGTAAGCAGTATCAGTAAGCATAAGTAATGTCCTGAGTAAGCTATCAGTCAGCATGAGTAATGCTGACTGATGCTGACTGATGCTGACTGAGATATCAGTAAGCAAGATAAGTATCAACTAGGATCATAAGGATTATGAATAGGATCAGGAGCATGAGAATAGTAGAGTCCAACCACTGATCCCAACAACTTATTTATCTCGTGTGCATAGCTACTCTGTTCTCACGGAGGGATCACTCATCTCTTTCAGTCGAGACGGTGCTTTGCTGTTTGAAGCGGATATTGATGAGAGGAACCAGGCATATGTAAGAGAGGTAGTTGATTCTCCTTCTGATTCAGCTCTTGCAGTCGGAACCTTGCCTCTAGATATCAGTCTCTTGCATCGTCACTTGGGTCACCATTCCGACGTCAAGAAGATCTTGAGCAAGAAACTGGTGACTGGTGCGAAGGTTACTTCAAACCGGACTGCAGATCCGATCTGTGAGCCCTGTCTTGCAGGCAAGCTGAATGCGGCTTCGTTTCCTTCAACTGGGCATCGTGCTGTAGCACCTCTTGATTTAATTCACTCTGATCTGAAGGAGTAGGTTTTCACCCGTGAGGGTTGGAAATACCAAATTGCCTTCATTGATGATCATACAAGCTTCAAAGCAGTCTTCCACATGAAGCGCAAGAGTGGTACATTCAATGCATTCAAGATGTTCAAGGCTTATGCTGAGAATCACTTTCGGCGCAAAATCAAGGTGTTGCAGGACAACGAAGGAGGAGAGTACTTGTCTAATGAGTTCAAACTTTACTTGGCCTCAGAAGGCATTGTGTGTCGTCATTCAACGAGAAACCGTCTGTAACAGAACAGGACAACAGAACACATGAAGCGAACCTGCCGCCATCCTTCAAGGCACTTGCAGTTAACATATACATTGCAAACATGCACCCATCGTCTCACATACCAGACGATACTACTCCTCATGAGCTTTGGTTTAAGCAGAAGCCGGATGTGTCCCACCTTCGGGTGTGGGGCTGCCTTGCATACGTGCATGTGCAAAAGGATAAAAGGGACGCTTCTGGGATTCATTTTCAGAAGTGTATATTTGTGGGTTATCTATTCCACTAAGTACAAAGGATAGTTGTTCTACAATCCTGTGACTAGAAAACTGGTTACATCTGAGGGCACCGTCTCTGATGAGTGGTATTTCCCTGGGAACAAGCCAGAGCAGCTCATATTGTTAGTGTTTCGCGAAATGTAATGGCAGTGACCGGGGAATGCTTTGCGAAACATTACGGCCAGGTCAGAGGTAAAGAAAACAAGGTGAAATTAAAGAATAGCAAAAGTGAGATTCGAACACACGACGTGATGGTCACAGATTGCATAATACCAGTCAGATCAACCAGCAAGCACTATAACCACCTAGGCTATCATTGCTGTTCTGTTTGCTAGTTTTGATTGGACTGTGTGGTTACCTGTGACAACAAATAACAAATGTTCAAAACTACAATAATAATATCCCTAGGACCCTAACTCTATCTAACCCTAACCAAACCCGGACCTTAACCAACCCTAACCTCAACCCTAACCCTAACACTAACAAGTGTCAGTGGGGGAAGCCTAGTTTCTTGAATAAAAGGCTGATTCAGAGCCTGGATAATGCCTGGTCTATCACAATCAATTAAGTATATCTATATTCTCTCTTGGCTCAGTTGGTTACAGCGCTGCCTTCTTGGTGGATGATGTAAGCTAATCTGTTTTGCAGTCGTGGGTTCGAATCCCACTCTTTTAATCTTTATTAACCTTGGCTGTAATGTTTCACGAAACTTTTTACGGACATGGCCAGGATGTTTCGCGAAAACCCCGCCTACTGAGGTGGCCAGAGATGCTGAGGCTATGTCCCGGCTCTCCAGCGTCCGATTCTGTTGTTCTGCCTCTGTTCAAGCTGCAAGTTGTGCCCGATGACAGGGGAGATCACGAGGACAATTCCAGTGTTCATTGAGCACCCCCTATACCTTCCCCTCCACCTTCTGAACCATCAACTCGCCCAAACTCACCGGATTTGCCTCCTTTACCCCCATCACCTCAACCATCACCCATTGGTATTGCTGCACGATGCCACTTGCATGGACAGACACCGGTGCATAGACCTGCGGGAGAGTGGTGGAAAGTTTCTCCTCTTCCTCCTCCGCATGTTCCTTCGGATTCGGACTTGTCTGATGATGAACTCCTCCTGCAACCAGGCAGTGCTCTTATCATTGCGCACCAAGGCAATCCGATGAACCCGGTGATGCAAGCTGCAAACGTAGCTGCTGCGCATTTGGCTCAGTTGGCGGTTCAATCCGGCAATCCTCGCTCTTACCAGGAGGCACTTCGGCGAGCAGATGCTTGTTATGAGCCGTGTTGCGGGAGCGGGGTAGAGGGACAGTTGGCCGGACGAGCGGGAAGTACTCCCAAATTACCGGCGGTTCGGAGCGGTCTCCGAGGTACCGGAGTCGGAAAGGAGGACCGGCAGAGCTGATTGACACAACACCACTGAGGCGCAGGGCAAGCGTATACTGCCAGGAATCATCGAGACAAGAAGGACAGAGTCTGGAGGAGTCAGGGAGATGAGGGGAGCAACAGACACCACTTCGGAGGGAGGGAAGCAATGTTTATTAAACTACTGAAGAACAGGAAGTAAACTAGGGAGATTAAATAGTGTAGAGTCTTAATTTAATGTAAAGGAGATAAGGAGGAAAGCATGTGGAGGTACATGTGGAGAAGACGATAGGAAACAATAAGACATCCAAAAGCGGAATGAGAAGTTGGATGAAATCAGGAATGCTTCGGATAATCAACATGAGGTGATATGTATAAACTTCGAAGCTTGGGAAAGAAGGAGATGCATGTGGAGTGAATGTTACCATTGATACTGAATGTTATATCCGTGCAAACCAGTCTTTCAATTTTTCCTATTATCGGTTCCGGTCGCACTCAAACTGACTCCGATTGTGCTCCCGTCACCTCCGGACACATCGTTACACACTCTATCATAACCTGCACCATTCCGGTAATACTCCGGCACCATTCCGGTAATACTCCGGCATCACTCCAGCTTACTTCCGTCGACCATGGTCCACCAGTTCCCAGACCTATCCCGGAATACATAGCTCTCATCCAACGATGGATTGCCGAGTACTTTCCTATTTATCATTCACTTCGCCTTCATTACTCCACCTTGTCTTGGCCACCTCCGGCCTCACTCCTCACCTCGTTCACCCTCCGGTCATTCTGGTTCACCGTGGCTCAGCCGCATGGCACCGCCGCACTCCATGGTACATTCCGGACTGCGATTACATCATCACTCCGAACTCCGGTCCTCCACGTCCCTTGGTTGAGCTCCGCTTCACCCACGTCGCCTCAGACCCTGCTCCTATGCATACGCACATCTCCGGAAGTCCTGTCAGCTATCTCCGGAATGACTGCTTGCTTCTATGTCCGCTCCGGCAACCCGGAGCTCCCAAATCGCCAACCAGTACCTCGGACCTTGTCCATATTGACTACCCACGTACCGGTCAAACCTCCGGTGCACTTATACCTCCTTCGCCTATGCTTCCACGCTCCTGCTCAAACTCCGGTCGCTTCGGACATCTCTCCGAAATCCGGAGTCACCGGAGACATCGGACTCTTGTCTGGATCATGCGGTATCATGCCTATTCACTCCTTATCCATTTATCCGTTCCTTATCACTTCTCTTCTATTGTTTCAACACCCACATCACTTCTCCTTATTGTCTTCTCACATGCTGCGCCTTCTCATCACACTTCCATCATTCCACATCGCTTCTTCATCTGCCTCAAGGCAGGTATCTTCACATTATCATCTTATCATTCTTCTATCCATCTATCTATCTATCTAACCATATGCTTTGCCTTTCTTCTTTATTCACTTGCTATTGTTCTTCATACTCACTTGACCTATTCTGCCACAAGGTAGTCTCTTCTTCCACATGGCATACTCTGCCTCATGTTGCCTCATGTTACTTATTTCCTTCTGTACTAATTACCTGACTCTAGTATTTATACCGGTACTTTACTTCCTGTAAACCATCCGGAAAATTAACATTGTTTCCATGTTTCCTCTTCATGGACTGTTGCCAACTGTCTCCATCGTCTCCTGAGGCTCCTGTTCATTGCCTCTTGACGTCTCCCTCGTAATGGCCTTGCTCCCGCCTCCCTCTGGTTCTCTCCGGAACTCCGGTCACCTCCGGTCTCCGGTCGCGTCTCCGGAACCATCGGTCACGTCCCCGGAGTTCTCGCTCGGCCATACCAACAACTGCGGTACGACTCCGGGTTGTCTCCTGCTTCTTGGATATGTCTCTGGTCCGCTCCGGCTCGCTCCTTCTTACTGATCGCTCCGGTCCGTACCGGACCTACGCCGGACGACTAACCAACCATACCGGCGACTGCCCTTGCATCTCCGGTCCAGGCTATCCGTGTCTCTTCACCATTTTTGAGCTAGTACTGCTCGGACCTTGGTATCGGACACATTCCCATCTCGCAGCCCGAGGCCAGTCAATCGGTCACCCTTGCTGAGTTGTGGTGTTCCGAGAAGGGCTGATCTAGACATCTGTTCATCTCTGAGTATCGGCTTGGTCCGGCTCTGGTCATATGATCGGATATTCCTCATACTCCTTCCCTCTTGGCTCAGCGACATAACACTGAAGTCCTATGACTACGGGAGTCGTGCCGATCAAGTCTCCGATGTTCCGGTAGTCTCCGGTGTTCCGGCGGTCTCCGGAGTTCCGGTAGTCTCCGAACTCCGGAGTGGACCGGAGTCGAGTAAGCTTTACCGGAGTGTGATAGACGTGAATCGGAGCCTTGGCGCACAGATATAACAATGCTCATCCTTGGGAAGAAGAAGGATTATATTCGAGTTGAATATGTTCCCACTCAGGGCCAGCTTGCGGACATCTTAATCAAAGCTCTCCCTCGTTCCACCGTGTGATTTCTCCGCTTGCAGATGGGATTACGGGGAAGCTAGGCAAGACTAGTCTCATCCCAGAAGAGTGTTGGGATCTGTGGTTGGACTCTATCTACTATTCTCGTGCTCCAGATCCTAGATGATCCTATCCATAATCCTTATGATCCTAGTTGATACTTATCTGATACTTATCTTGCTTACTGATATCTCAGTCAGCATCAGTCAGCATCAGTCAGCATTACTTATGCTGACTGATAGCTTACTCAGAACATTACTCATGCTTACTGATACTGCTTACCTATACAATGTAACTACATATATAAGTAGTGTAGTTGCATCCTGGGTCCTCAGTTTCTTACTATTGACCCAGGTGTGTTCTCTCCTCACATTTATCTAATAGAGTTTCTTACTGTTGACCCAGATCTCTGTGCTGCCTGTTCTAACACCCTCAACTGCCAACAAGACATTTCTGCTTTTGTTGATGTGCAGTGGTTAAAATGAGGAGTGCTAACGGGGCGCGAGGTTGAGTTTGTGCTGAGAAACCAAGTACCGAACTGAACTGAACTGAACTGAAGTTCTATTATACGCCGTACCTGGCCGTAAGGGCTACGCGGCAGTACTTTAGGTAAACTAGATAGGGAATTTTACGTAGACTATAATGGGGTGTTGTAGGTCAAGTTTTATAGAGGTATATGTAGAGGGAAAGAGAGAGAGAGAGAGAGAGGAAATCGTCTGGGAAATTGTATGCGTGATGTAAACGATATAGAGTAGAAGATAACGGGCGTGAGTGGTGAGGATGGGCAAGGCCGGGGTGATCATGAATGAGAGAGAGGGAGAGACAACAAAAACTAACTGAATCTGCCTGTATTGGTGACAAATTTGGCGACAACTTTGAGGAGTTTTGGATGACCGAGTAGAGATGGCACATCAACTGCACCAAGGATACCCGCACTGTACGATGCATGCTGGAGCACGGGCCGGAGGTGATCCCATGCCAGGCAGTGGAGGAGAAAGTGGGCTCTAGTTTCGTACATAGCACCACAAGCTTCGCATGCAGGGGACGGTGATAGACGGCACCAAAAGCGATGAGCATTAAGCTCCGAGAAGTCGGTACGTAGGCGTGAGATGAGGGATATGGTGGCACGTGAGGCTGAAGAGGTGTAGGGAGAGCGGAGGATGAGGGATGGGCGTGATCTGTCAACCGCACGAAGACCGGCACCGGTGGTCGCACACCTCCACTCCACCTCCCATCAATTGAGAACGGCAGTATGGATGCGACGTTTACACGATGTGAACGAGATGGGGGTGCCGGGGGACGGAGGGAGTAGGGTGGCCGCCTTGGCCGCATCGTCCGCAAATTCGTTGCCGGTGGTCCCAATGTGCGCGGGGGTCCATAAATTGGTGATCCGTAGAGATGGTAGGCGGTTCATGGCGTCGCGGATGAGCTTGTCGTAGAGGATGGCACGGTGCTGG